AGTAAAGGACCCTTTTCCACGCCTTAAGGCGTATAGGGCATACAGGGCTAGACCTATATTTTTATAGACCAAATGGCACAAGTTGGGTGATGGGGTCAGCATCACGCCAGCCGCCTCTACTTCCTGAGACTTTACCCGGTACAAAAGTGACTGGAAAGCACTAAATACAACATAAATTTTACTGGAAAAGCTCAACATAAAAGGGTACTAGAAACTAGCACCAAACATGTCTGACGTTTGTAATTCAGCTGTCAGTGAAGACTACTGCTTAAACAGTCATAAGGGGAAATTTACAGAAGAAAAACCTTACAGGTGTGATGTCTGTGATGTATCATTTTCTCAGTCTGCCTATTTGAAGTCACACAAGAGAACTCTAACAGGAGAGAAACCTTACAAATGCAGTGATTGTGGTGCTGTATTTTCCCGATCATGAAATACACGAGAACACATACAGGAGAGACCTTACAAGTGTGATAATTGTGGTGCATTTTTTTCTGAAATTGGGCATCTACATAAACACAAGAGAACAAACCTAGGCAACAAAAGAACAATCTCAGGTGTAACTGCTCACTACAAAGGAAAAGAATTTAAATAAGATAGCAAAGGAACCATCCTTGATAAAGCAGGCCATCAGGCGGCTAAAAAATGACTAAGCTTGGAATTTTTGTTTGATTTTATACGATATGATACGATACAAGAGAACACATACGGGAAAGAAACCCTTCAAGTGTGATGACTGTGGCACAGCATTCTCTCAGTCTGATGAATTGAAATTACACCTGGGAACGCATTCATTCATTCATTCAGTAGCATGTCCCTCACGGAACCTCGCTGCCATAACAACCCTCCGGAAAACCTTCCTATCCTGAGCAAGATGTCCTGCGTCTGATACACCCATCTGGAGATCACCTGCCACATCCTGCACCCATCTTCTCCTTGGCCTTCCTCTTCCTCTCTTCCCAGGCATATACCCCTCCATTATTGTTCTCTCTAGACTTCCATGACATTTCAAGTGACCAAAATATTTCAATTTTCTTTGTTTTATTGTCTTTACTAGCCAACCCTCTTCAATATTCAGCTCTTGAAGTATGGATGCATTTGTTCTTTTCTTTACCCAAGATATTCTTAGAACCTGTCTGTAACATTTATATTCAAATGAGGAACGCATACAGGGGAGAAATCTTAAATAGTGTGATGATTGTGGTGTGTTATTTCTCGATCGGACATTTTAAAATCACAAAAGAGAACACATACAGGAGAGAAACCTTACAAGGTGAGATAACTTTGGTGCATCATTTTCTCAAGCTGCCCATCTGAAATCACACAAAACCGTACACAGAGGAGATAAGTCTTACAAGTGTGATGTATCATTTTCATGATCTGAAGTCGCACAGAAAAACACATAAAAAAGGGAAACTTTACAAGTGTGGTGATTGTGGGGCAATATTTTCTTGATCTGGCAGCTTGAAGAAGCACAAGAGAACACATACAGGAGAGAAACTCTACAAGTGTGATGATTGTGGTGCATCTTTTACTCAATCTGGCAGTCTAAAGATTCACTATAGATCACATACAAGCAAGAAACCTTACAAGTGTGATGATTGTGGTGCATCTTTTATTCAATCTGGTAGTCTAAAGATTCATTATAGATCACATACAAGCAAGAAACCTTACAAGTGTGATGATTGTGGTGCATCTTTTACTAGTTCTGAAAGTATTTTGAGTCACAAGAGAACATATACAGGGGGGAAACCTTACAGGTTTTTCTTTTTCTACTGCCATTTCTCCCCCAATGGAGTATAGGCCCTCAGCCAACCACGCCAGGTCGTCCTATCCTTCGGTATTACATGCAGCTCCCCCCATGTCCTCTCCATCATTTAAAATTCACTCTCTAGCTCCCTTCCCCATGTGTTTTTTGATCAGCCTTTATTTCTATGCCTCTGTGGGTTCCAGTAAAAAAAAAAGACATACGAGTTATATCATTTTCAGGTTCCTCAGTGTGTGCTCTATCCAATGCCAACATCTTTTTTTCCCAGCTTTTGATTCACCAGAATTTGTTAAGTTTTCTCCTAAAACTAAACATTTCTGATTCTATCCTCCCATTTTATTCCCTCTGTTCTTCTCAGACACCATGTAATGGTGTTTGTAGTTCATTTGTAATGTTTTAGTTGTCCATGTTTCCACGTCATTAATTATAATTTCCTTTGGCTTCCACAAATGTCATATTGCTAAGAATATCCATCTGGCCTCAAGTATTGATATTTCAATATCTCTATCAGTTATCTTTATCTTCATGACAGTCCAAATAGGTGAATGTACATCATGGAGTGGAATACAATTAAGAGAAATCAAAAGCCACATAAGAAATCGAACGCCTGGCACGTGCGGATCATGCGACTGCGCTGACATTGGAAGAAGAAAAAAAAAGGTGATGGTGGCGATGATGAAGAAGAAGAAGAAAAAGAAGACATTCTCAAATCAAAACTCTTGTTTAAACAATGTCCTTTATTACACTAAAGCATGCATAGTGATATCTTTTCCTCTCTTTCATTATCGTAGTGAAAAACAAAAAATAACGACATGCTATAATTTTTTTTTTTTTTTTTACTGAACAATGAAAGACAGTATAGTAAAATCATAAAATAACAAACAAATTAATGTATTAGAATGGATCAGATACAACCAAATTCTTACAATAATTATGAATTCTTTAAAGTACATTTCAATAATCTTGGTTCTTAAATGCTGTTTTTTTTAATCAGTGTTTTTTTTTTCTGGGCAGCTTTTTCACCTTATATATTTTCTTTTCCTGCATTCTATATAAGTTTCTTACATGTTTATTATTATTCTTGTTAATTTGTATTGCTCCCCCCCCCCCCCCTCCCGGTTACATCTGAGATGTTAGTATTTTCATTGGGTACCACCTTCTTGTAAAAATATTTCCTTTACTTTACAAAAGTGGTTACCTTTTCAAGAAAATGTGTCATTTATTTTACTTTTTCTTCAATTTGCTGCATTTACTTGACTAAAGTGGGTACCATCTTGGAGAAATGTGTCCTGAACTTTGCATCCTTTCACTGAGGGTTGAGCGTCTGCCAGATCCCCTGGTAACTCCTCGCAGCACCATTCTCCTTAGACGGTAATGATCTATCTGCGCCTCTGCACTGTTCACTCGCTCGCAAAGGGCCCTAAAAATATCAAGCTTGTTATGAATCAATTCACCACCAAGTGGTGCAGAGCCAGCCAGTCTATCTACCTGCTCATTTCCCAACACACAAGCATAACCTGAAGAAATATCCCAAGGATGCTAACTACCCAGGACCTTTGAATTGATGCTTGCCACTCTGAACGAAGCATGCATTTTTTTTACCTGTCTCACCATGCTCTGTGATTCAGTTACAATCACGGCATATGTGTACAGCTGATTCTCAAGCCAGTGGAAGGCAGCAGAGACTGCCTAAACCTCCACTCTCAAACTAGACGTCAAGTGACCAGGGAATCTGGCCGACACTCTACACTCAAAGGAAAGACAAGACAGACATATAATCAGTCTGCTTCTGGCATCATCAAAATTTGAACTCCCTCCTGGCTGCTGAAGATAAGGATGGAGTGCTTATAGGAATATCCTGAGAGCTTAACACTCAACCAAACATCTTGAGTGAGCAAAACATATAATCCTAGTCTATCAGAACCTTTCCTTAAGAAAAAGAAAGGGACTTTTGAGCTGAAATGCTGTAAAAAGATTCCAGATCTTGGACAAAGAAGAGGAGAAATACTGACATCTTAAAAGATCTGAACATCAAGGAAGATTGGCTAATAAACAGCATCCTGTCTTGGATGCTGAAAAATTTTGGTCATATCAAGCATCAGATTAGAAAAAATAACATCAGAAGGGATGGTAACAGGAAGGAGGGGCAGGGGCCGACCGACACAAAGATGGGCACAGGATATAAGTGACTCTTTGAGTATGAAAGAACATGAGGCGGGAGAACTGGCAAGAGACCGCGTTTCTTTCAGGCAGACTGTGATGAGAGCAACATTCTACAAAGGACCCGCTACATGATGATGATGATCAGAACAGAACACAATGAGCAGAACAGTCACTTACAGAAAGGACACTAGCCCCCTCATCCCTGTACACATGTCAATAGGCAGATCAGACAAGGCAACACATTCTTCAAGATTATAGTATTCTTCATTAACTGAAGGTTGACCCACAGAAACAAACTACATCACGTCTATTCATCTATGTCTCTTCAAGGGCCAACATTCTGAACATGGAGCATCACAGGCCAGAGGTCCTAGCACAGAAAGATCATTAATACAATACAATAAGCAATGATCCACTACAACTTGTTAGGTCTTTGTGGGGCAAATCTGGCTAGTGGGCCAAATCTGGCTTGTGGGCTAAATCTGGCTTGTGGGCCACCAGTTGAATAGCCTTGATCTACACAAAGCTATTCTAAAGTCTCAGTAAGGTCTTCAACACATCAGCTAATTTTCATATGACTGGAATTTTTGAGTAGATATTGCTAGAACAATGAAGAATACTAGAACAATGAAGAATACAAAGAAGCAGCATGAGGATAAGTCCACTGAATATATAAAGTACAGGTTATTATTAACTCTTTTGGGACTAGAGAACATTTAAATTCAGTATAAATCAACACATGAGGGTATTCAAAGAGTTAACGTTGTTTCTATAATCTAAATGACACATTATTAAGGCACATATCTTAATATAATTTGTAATAAAAGTCAAACTGTTACAGACTGCATCTATGAATTTTATATGCACACACATATAAACATATCACTATTACTGTTGTTATAGTTAAATCTATCATGTATATGACTTTCTCAATTGTTATGATCTATAGCCATCTGTTGTGCACATCATAACTCCATCTGTTACAGTCCTCATTTATCTCATGTTTATAGCACCAACCCAACTTGTTGCAGCTAACGACGACTAACCTCATTACCATCATGTTTATCCACTACATGTACTCACTCTTTTGACACATGTGTAAGTGAGAAGCAATTCCCAGAGCACCACCTATCCCGAATCTGACAAAATTATCCCCAACAAGAGGCCCCATTGCAAACATTTGAGGCTCTCGAACTGACTGGTAGGAATACGCATCTACATCAATAATGTTGTGTTTGCTGTCAACTGGCCAATCTGGCACTCTGCCCAAGTGACGACCCTCTTTTGGCAGGAAGCTTAAATCAGCTCTGGAGCCAATCATAACTGCCACAGCTGAAACATCAAACCATGTGACAGTGCCAGGGCGACGACACTTGAGTAGTACTTTGTTATCTTTGAGCTCTTTAACAGAATGACGAGGCAGAGGTTTGTAAAGTTCACTGACTTCATGACCTTTCATCAGAGAATGAATGTAATGATACTCGGGGTACATTGCTTTTGGCAGTTTGGAAAAGATGAGTGTGTGGTCTGTAGGCTTGCATCTGAAGGCATGTATGACTGGTATGTTGGACTCCATAGCCATAAGGATAGCATCAGCTGCACTTAATCCAGCCCCAACCACAAGAATAGGATCAGCAGTTGTAGAAGCTTCACATTGTGACAGCTGCTTTTCAAATTCTCCCAAGCAATGAACAACAAAAGACAGGCTTTCACCTTCGACATTAAGCCGGTTAGGGATATCATAAGTACCAGTTGCAAGAACAATATGAGGTGTTAAGTAGCAGAACTCCTGCCTTCCAACTGATTCTCCAAGGTCATCAAAGACTGCCTGATAACCTCGAACTTCCCAAAAATGGGTGTGGTTTCTCCTGACATTATGACAGCAAGGCTCCTCCTCCCCATTATCGTTGTCCACATGGAGACGACTGTGCACATGAAAGACCTGTTGGACTGAAGTGACCACGTGGAAGTCTTGGAAACGTTTCTCCAGTTGTTGTGTTTTCACATAATCGCCATAGTATTCTCTCACATCGGCAATTGTAGCACGCCCAAGTAGAGACTTCCTTTCTGGCATTTCTCTGAAAAACAAAAGAGTGCAAATGAGAGATTTAACAGGAAGGTTGTAAAAGAAAAACAGGAAAGTGTTGCAAAAAATGCAAAGATTTATAGAATAACAGATAGGGAAAGACACTGAGAGAAGAGTTACATGACAGCTTTTCTTGTGGCATGGAAGGATGTCAGCATACAAAGTATTACACACATTTGGACATTTGTGGATATATGGAAGTGAACCCTGGACAGTTGCCATAGTGACAAAGTATGCAGAAGTGGTGGATATTTGGTTTTGTAGATGAATCATGAGAACACACTGGACAGATAAAAAGAATAATGAAGATGTCTTGAAAGAAACTGACTCGCAAAGAGAACTGACTGCCCACATAAGAAGGGTGCAACCTATACTCTCAGGTCATTTGATGTCATGAGAAAGAGACATCTCAAGTACATCATGACAGTGGAAAATCTGGAAAAAAAAAAAAAAAGATGCAGATGGAGACTGAGGAAAAAGATTCTAGACAATCTGACATGGCATAGAAGATTATCTGTGTCAGAACTGATTGAAGTACACAAGACAAAAAGCTGTGAATAGACATGACTACCAGTGCCACATGGCATGGACTATGGAAGACCATCTGTGTCAGCATTGATTGAAAGAACAAGAGACAGAAGGTTGACTAACTATGGGACATGGACTATGGAAGATCATCTGTCAGAAAAGATTGAAAGTACATGAGACAGAAGGTTGACCACCGACTGGGCATGGACTATAAGCAGAAGATGGTCATTTGAAGATGTGGCGAAGCATGATTGTCACTGCAAGTCAACAGGGCAGTTTTTTCACAGATCTTATCCAGTGGTCATATCATGTTCTTGTTTCCTACTTCTCATGACATGGCCAAAAACAAAAAGATAGCTGTCTGTTTCTGATGTTGTCTATTTCTGATGTTGTCTGTTTCTGATGTTGTCTGTTTCTGATGTTGTCTGTTTCTGATGTTGCCTGTTTCTGATGTTGTTGTCTGTTTCTGATGTTGTCTGTTTCTGATGTTGTCTGTTTCTGATGTTGTCTGTTTCTGATGTTGTTTGTTTATGATATTGTTGTCTGTTTCTGATATTGTTGTCTGTTTCTGATATTGTTGTCTGTTTCTGATGTTGTCTGTTTCTGATGTTGTCTGTTTCTGATGATGTCTGTTTCTGATGTTGTCTGTTTCTGATGTTGTCTGTTTCTGATGTTGTTGTCTGTTTCTGATGTTGTCTGTTTCTGATGATGATGAGATCTATTATTTTAGTTACATAATTTAATACACTGTCTTAGAGAAATAATGGTTAATGCTTGTTATGTCCGGGCCTCATTGTGAGGGAAACAAGAATAGACCAACGACCTCTCCAACAATCATATCGTAGGAATCGACTAATTGGGGACTTCCTTCGAAGTCAGAGTGCATCTGTCAGAGCGGCAAGAAACAACCAACTGCACACAAATAAGCCAGTAAACCAAATGTACATGCAAAACTCAGGCCCTGGTACAAAGCCAAAGTCCAAATGGACAAACAACCAGGACTTTCCACCATGGCCTACAAACGGTGAACCAAGAAGAAGAAGGAGAAGACACCGGTGGAAACAAATGAAACCAGCCAGACAAACAGTAAAATGATGGCTAGGGATTGGTGTGAGTGATCATGCCTCACCACAATCTGTAATCCTCAAAAGCATTTATTAGTTCACGTGTTGACACCTTACCATGCCAGAACAAAAAGCTGTCAAGTATCTTATCATATTGTCTTTCTCTGTCTGTCTCCCCCCCCCCCCCCCCCCCCCCCCCCCCCCCCACAAATCTTATCCAGTGGTCACAGCATGTTCTTGTTTCCTTCTTCTCATGACATGGCCAAAAACAAAAAGATAGCTGTCTGTTTCTGATGTTTGTGATAAGTTTTCTCTGACCCATTGAATCTTTCAAAACCTATGGGTTGCTCTTTTTGGGCTGTCCAAAAAATTCTAAATGGTTTTCTTAAAACCACATTTCTGAAGCCCCAAACATAAGATACAATAGGCAAAAAAGCAACAGACATGCAGCAAAGGAGTTCACTTGTGGTTGACTTATGTGTCAAAAGCAAAAGGAAGTGAAAATAGATATAAAATAATGATTAGTGTCTTTGCCTACTGAGATGTTGGTCTGGGTTCACTTCCCACAAGGGGCGGGGTATATTCTTGAGCAGAATGGTTCTGGTGTTATCAACACTAGTCCTGACCCACAGGACTGCAGGTTAGATCCTCAGGCACAAAGACCCTTCTGCCTGCATCACCTAAGTGGTATATATGCAGTAATGAAAAGAAAAAAGAAAAAATTCAATGGTGTTTTCATTCTGCAGGCCACTGAATGTATATGGTTTAACTCAAATAGTCAGTTAGTAGTCAGTCAGTCAAGGTGTGACTATTTAAGGTGCCCTAATGCCCTAAATTATAACTTCTTTGGAGGTTAAATGGAATATCTTTTTCTTCTTCACGTTTACCGGCTGTAGGCTCCGCCAGAAAATGTGGTTGACCGCCTGGACTTCGTTTTTATCCCAGAACTTGGGCTTTGTATGCACATCTGCTTTACAGATCTGGCTTATTTGTATGCAGGCTGTTGGTTTCTGCCCCTCAGACAGATGCACTATAACTTCGAAGAAAATCCCTCATTAATCTACTGCTATGCTTGTTTGGGAGGCAGTGGCTTTATTCTCCCCCCCCCAACCACCAACAAAGTGACCCTGGAACCCAGACTGGGACATGAACAGGGTCTCTGGCATCTGTCTTGTTGGTCTCTCATCCAGACTGACATTTTTAAATCTCAGGATGGTGTGGCAAACCTTTAGGTAACAGCCTGGAGGTGATGAACTGATTAATCAATCATTTCTGATAGTGTTTTCCCGAAAGTAAGATTGACCCCAAAAATGCCCTAGCACAATTCTACAGTATGATTTTATTATATGCTGAATTTATGTTGAATTAAGAATTGACATCACCACAGCACTCGGGACACTCCCATAAGTGATTTGTCCCCATCTTCAGCAGCAAGCAAAGAGTTCCAATTCTGATGGCACCAGTAACCGTCTGATTGTATATCTGTCTCATCCTTCCCCTGAGTGTTGAGTGTCGCCTAGATCCCCTGGTAATTCCTTACAGCGCCATTCTCCTCAGACCATAGTGATCTATCTGTGCCTCTGCACTGTTCACATATGATGTCGATTCTTAACTCAAAATTCAGCATTCATGGGAAGCAGTTTAATAACAAATGAAAGAAGGTCAGAACTAACCATAATTACAGTGGACATTGGACACACAAAAAGCTTTCAACCTGATGAATTAGATTAATCACTCATGTGTGTGCTGTTTATGTCTAGTGATATCAAAATTAAAGCCCACCTGTTTCTTTTAGCAAGCCATTCTTTGAATGGAACATTTGGAAGCTCCATCCAGGAATTCTGGCTGATCGTCTGCATGCCACCATCAATTTTCTGATAAAAACAGAAATCCACATTTTAAACACTCATCTAAAAACATAAAAAAGACAAAGACTTTCACATTTTAGAAACATAAATGACAGTTACAATTGGAACTCTTCACTTGCTGCTGAAGATGGGGACTGAGCACTTATGAGAGTGTCCAGAGTGCTGTGTTGTCGATTCTTAATACAAAATTTAATAACATTCAATAACATTCAGAAAAATAAATAGATGGATGAAAAACCAAAGACTTTAGGGGCACAAATAGGTACACCAAAAATTTAAGGGCATATTTGCACATTAGAAACAGAAAAAAAGTACATAAAAACCAGAAACATACCCACATCTAAGAGGCATAAATAAGTAAAAAGTAATGATCCATTTTCACGCCTTTAGGCACATTGAGCATATGGTAAGAGCACCATATTTTTACAGATCAATCAGCGCTAGATGGGTAATGTGGTCAGCATTTCACAGGCCGTCTTTACTTTCCCAGGACATTCATCCTGGTACCCATTTTAGGCTGGGTTGACCTGCGACACCCCATATCATGATAAAAATCCATACATCCAGCAGTGGATTTTGATAGCGGTATGTTAGAATTACGAGTCTGACTCCCAACGCCTAAGCCATGGACGCCGTTTAGAGACATAAATGGTTAGTTGCGTATCCTTTACAGGATGTTGCAGAACCAACCCCAGCAGCCCCTGGCTGTTGTGTGGTTTTTCTAGGCAAATTGACCTCCAGTAGTTTGCCTGACGGTCGGCCCCCTGATACCACTGTCGAAACAAAGGCAAGGTGCATGGCCTGCAGCTGAGATCGACCCCAGCATTAGGAAGCGTTTGCATTGACTTAGCCACAGAGCCGACTTAGGGACATAAATACACAGCATAAAAAACAATGAGGTTATCCTAGGGTCAAATCTTTGTTTTGTAAAAAAATATAATCTGTAGAAAGTAACTGTAATGCTGTTTCACTTTTAACATGCCAGTGAAATCTGGAGAACCATTGAGGACAATGAGTAAACATTAAATGCATTCAAAAACAAAAGTCTGAGGAAAGAGAATATAAATAAATGATTAAAGAAAAGTGAAGAAATAAGATTAAAGTCTGGACAACTACTGATATCAAATGTTATATAATAAATAATACGGTCACATCCTGAGGACAGGCTAACAAAGAAACATGAAGAAGGCACTGCAATGGGATACAGATGGATTGAAATTAGGACGTTTAAGAGAGCAATGTTGATGAATTATTATGGTCTGGAGAGAGTGGTAAACCTAGGAGTGACCAGGGGATATGATCAACATTATACCCTAAGAGGAAAGGCAAGATTGACATGTAATGAAAATGCAACAGACACCATCATAATTGGATCTCTTCACTGGCTGCTGAAGATGAGGAGGGAGTGCTTATGGGAATGTCCCGAGTTATGTGATGCGGGTTCTTAGCTCTACACTCAATACTCAGTAACGGCCCCTAGTGGTTCCTTGAACAACTGTCCAAGCTCTCTCTCTCAACTGCACTCAACCCCCAGACCCCCAGTATATACACATGACTGCCCCTGTGAGCTCTTCGGTGCTACAAAAGACGCTCACTGTTATGCATAATTCCCCTTTATTGAGAAACCCATTCTTCTCATGTGCCTCTTGCTATCCATGCACTAAATATAGTAATTCACCCGTACTGGGCTGACACTTCGTAAACCAACTGGTCCCTCCGGTCCTAAGTTAACACCGACTCATAATATTGACTCAAGCCGAACAACATCTCCTGGCTTAAGTCAACACATGAGTCAACTATTGACTTAGGTCACTGGACATCCCTGTGGACTTACGAATCCACGTTTGCATAACATTATCATAAACACTGTTGCAACCCCCTGAATCTACACACAACAGTCATTCAATTTCTTAATTTCAAATATTTTTTTAAAATCAACGCCCAAAAAATCGTGACAGACAAAATACCTGCCAAGTTCCTCCTGGCTTAGTTTTTCCCAGCACAACATGAGGGATCTCGTGCATGGCTTCATGTCTCCACTCCAGGGCAGAAGGGATATCTGCACCCCAGTCTGCCTCGGGGTGGAACAAGCTGTCAAACAACAGAGCCACTGGGTTGTTGGAGCGTCCTTCCAGACTTTCACACAGTGGGGCCAAATCCTGGAGATAAAGATGAAAGTATTCAATGTCAAAGAGAGAGGTCCTACAGAGAAAAATGACAAAAGTCACCCGTGAGTTGTAAATTTTTTACTGAGTGGGGGATAGGCTATCAAAATTATCATCACTCATCATTGCACATTTGAACTGATTTCAAAGTCATCTCCACGAATGGGTCAGTTACTGAATATTCTATTTTGAAGGGGTACAGAAATTATTTGTAAAACAAAGATCAGAAAGACTCACCACATTCGGAGAACAGCAGCACCTGTGCAATTGTCAATTTTAGAATCACAAGGACATAGGAAATGTAAGGCCACATACACAGATTTGTGTTGATCCATACAGGAGATTTTGAGATATTTGTTAAAGTGTGACGGCATGAGTTTTGAAACGCACTAAAGCAGAATGTAAGCAGTTGTACAATCTGATGGTGCAAGTAACTGGCAACAGGTGAAGTGCAGAGTATGAAATAGACATTACAATTCTTTCTTTGTTTTACCCTTTAAAATGCAGCTGGAAATTTTGTGTTGTGATTATCGGCACCTTTTATCCCAACATATCCAGTTTAAGAAAACCCTTAATTTGTTGCCTTTTACAATTTGCTTGATAAGGGGCACAGTTTCTACCCCCCCCCCCCCACCCCCACCCTTTTCCAAAAAAAAATTTAGACCAAAAATCCACATCTTCTTTTCCAGCATTCCGAGCCCTTGAGGTTCATTGCTGTAGAAATCACCCACCTCCATTCATCTCTCTGGTTGGCCTTCTCTTTACAGTTGGGGACACCAGATGTTTGCAGGTTGAACTGGACATTATCTCTTCGTCTTCTTGGTCTGCCTCGTGGTCTATGACTATTCATCTCCCTTGTGCATACAGTTTTTACTTCTCTGTCATCTGACATTCTTTCAATATGCCTCAAGTATTTCAGTCTATAGCTCTCAAAATCCACATGGGAAAATAAAAACTATGATTATTATCAATGCAAAGGAGGAACCAACAATGAACAGAATATGCCTTATATGAATGTATGTAAGTTGTACCCCACCAGAACATCACACAAGCGATAAACACCCGGTGACACAAAGTGCCACCATGCAGATTAGAATCACCCATGGAGAGGTCCTGGAAACCCCATTCACCCGTCTGGCCATATCTATGGCTTTGCTATATTTAAGGCCTCTGGCAAAAGCCAGCCGATGATGGGATGTGGATATTAATATACCTGCTTCACTATGATCTTCTTAGTATCTTCTTAGTTAGTCACTTTAAAGTAACAACAGTGTGTGAATACTAGTGAACAAGATTACAAGTCAAAGTATATTACATGGTTTGGACACCTAACAAGAATGCCCTGGTACTATCCGCCACACTAAAACGTTACAACGGGTATAGAGCGAGTGGAAGACCTTGGAAAATATGGAGTGATGGCATTAAGAACAGCCTTACAAAAATAAACATCAGTCTTAACAGTGCTCTTGACAGAGCCCATTAACGAACATCACATCTCCCCCTGACACTTCGATGAGGTACAAGGTGGAAAAGAAGAAGAAGAAGTACATTACATTAATTATTCATACTTGTTAAACTGTCTCCTATTTGGGTTCCGGGGCCGCCTTAAAAGGAGGAGGGGGGGGGGGGTGGGGGGGGTGTTAAATCCACTTTTCTCTAACAAACATGTTGTGAAAGGTGACATATCAGGATTTTGCTGAAATCAGATTTGTTGGGCTGAAAAGCACAGATATCACAGCTTATCTGTAAACCACCAACATAATTTGCCAATCACCTTTTTTAAGGATGAGCACAGAAGAAGAAGAATTACATGCAGATGTCTCTGGGACTTAAAAACAAAGTTAGCTGCATATCCTGTATAGGACTTCACAAATCAAGTACAGCATTGATTGACTGTTGTGTGGTTTTACTAGGCAAGTATACGTTTAGTAGTTTGTCATTGCTTTCTGAAGCTACAATGCTTCTACCATTAGTAAAACAATGGGAACAAAAAGCTGCAATTGAATCGTCTGCAGCTGACTTTGTACACTGTTCAGGATTGTAAAACTGTACGCACAATCTGTAAGACTCAGACACAATCTGTAAGACTCAGACACAATCTGTAAGACTCAGACACAATCTGTAAGACTCAGACACAATCTGTAAGACTCAGACACAATCTGACACAATATGTAAGACTCAGACACAATCTGTCAGACACAGACACAATCTGTAAGACTCAGACACAATCTGTAAGACTCAGACACAATCTGTAAGACTCAGACACAATCTGTAAGACTCAGACACAATCTGTAAGACTCAGACACAATCTGACACAATATGTAAGACTCAGACACAATCTGTCAGACACAGACACAATCTGTAAGACTCAGACACAATCTGTAAGACTCAGACACAATCTGTAAGACTCAGACACAATCTGTAAGACTCAGACACAATCTGTAAGACTCAGACACATTATGTAAGATGACACAATCTGTCAGACTCAGACACAATCAGTAAGACTCAGACACAATCTGTAAGACTCAGACACAATCTGTAAGACTCAGACACAATCTGTAAGACTCGACTCAGACACTGATTCCTCTGACATATACAGCATAGAATGTTACAGAACTGATGACATATTTACAATATTACAGAACTGATGACATATTCACTATATTACAGAACTGATGACATATTCACAATATTACAGAACTGATGACATATTTACAATATTACAGAACTGATAACACATTTACAATATTACAGAACTGATGACATATTACATAACTGAGGACATATTCACAATATAACAGAACTGATGACACATTTACAATATTACAGAATTGATGACACATTCACAATATTACAGAACTGATGACACATTCACAATATTTCAGAACTGATAACATATTTACAATACTACAGAACTGATGACACATTCACAATATTACATAACTGATGACATATTCACAATATTACATAACTGATGACATATTCACAATATTACAGAACTGATGACATATTTACAATATTACTAACTGATGACACATTCACAATATTACATAACTGATGACAAATTCACAATATTACAAAACTAGTGACATATTTACAATACTACAGAACTGGTGACACATTTACAGTATTAGAACTGATGACACAGTTACAAGAAACAGAACTTACTTGTTCCAGAAGGGATACCCCCATATTTTCCCGCAATCGCCTGGCAAGGTACTCATTTGACAGTGGAGACCCATTATAGTATGGTCGATTCCCAGCCAGCATGTAGGACAAAGAGATAGCTGATGGGCCATTGCCTGTAAGGATTGTAATTGTTATTAATTACAGATATAACATTTGTCTGATGTAGGCCGTGAAACTAGCAGAAGATACAATTCACACTGAGGCTTCACCTACATAAATATTAAGGGGGCTGAAGGGCCTCCTCCTACTGCAGAAAGGTTGCAAGAGGACAAAATGGCCCATCTAACTATGTAAAGAAGTTAGCTATTAGGTATTTGTTTTAAAATATGTTTGTTTTATATTTTGTTGATCAGTATATAATAACTATTTTTCTTCTTATTGCACAGATGCAATCTTTACACTTAAACAGTAAATAGAAAAGAACATTGAATACAATAAGAACTTATTTGTGGCATTCGTAGACCAGGAGAAGGCATTTGACAGAGTCGACAGACAATTATTATGGAAAGTAATGGCAAGATATGGAGTAAGCAAACACCTCATCAAAGTGTGAAAAAGTTTATACAGGGATTGTAGAAGTGTAGTTAGAATAAATCAGGGAACATCTCATCCATTCACAGTGACATCTGGAGTAAGGGGTGTGTCTTATCACCACTGTTTATCACCTACATCGACAGTATATGCAAGAATGCCAAGCCCATGAATGAAAATGTTAGTAAGATCAACAAATTACTCTTTGCAGATGACCAGGCCTTGATAGCAGATACAGCCATGAAATTGCAACAACATCTAACATCCATGAATGAAGAATGTAAAACAAATAATATGAGAATCAACACTGAAAAGACAGAAGTAATGTCAATAGGAAAAAAAGAAGACAGATCTAAACATAGCAATAGAGTGCAAAGGCATTAAACAGGCATCTGAGTTTAAATATCTGGGAACTACATTTACCGAAGATGGGAAATTGGATAAAGAAATTAACATTAGATGCAGTAAAGCAAACCACTTATTTGGGACAGCTAGCCCCCCCCCCCCCCCCCCCCCCCCCCCCCCCCCCTCTTACAGCATAAGACAATCCCAATCAGCACAAAGAGACATCTTATTCAAAGCATATTTATTCCAACTCTGTGCTACCAGTGCCAGACATGGTCACTCACAACAAACCATAACAGAAATTTAGTAACCACGGAAATGAGATGTCTGAGAAGGGCTGTAGAAGTGACCATAAGAGATAAGATCAGGAATGAGATCATAAGAGAAAAAGTCGGCACAGAACCAATTCTGGATTACATACGAAGACAGCAAGTGAAATGGTTTGCACACTTAGAGAGAATGCCTTGTGACACCATACCATACAAAGCATACATGGAAAGAGAAGAAGGACATAGAGCACGAGGTAGACCAAGAACAAGATGGAAGGATAACATCAGAGAAACTCTACAACAGCACGATGTGCCTATGGTCGAGGCGGCCAGAAGAGCTAGAAACAGAACCTTATATCTCCCTCGACACCCACAGCGGTAAAAGAGGAAGTGAAGAAGAAGAAGATTCTGATTGTTACTACTGCACATGTAAACAAGACTTTAACCCTTGAAAATTTTTAAGAGGCTGAGCTTCTGCCTCAAACCCCCCCCCCCCCCCCCCCCCCCCCAAGTTTTTTCTTAGTGTTGGTGCCCCTGAATGTAGGTAAAAAAAGTAAACTAGTGACATGGCGATATGTCAGTGGAGTGTTGGGCCTTTATATATTCTAGGTCACAACTTTAGGAGGTGGCATGGCCAGGTCCTTTGCTCATCACCTTTCCTTTTGATTAGGGGGCTGCCTGGTCTCGAGGCATGGTGTCCACCTCGAATGCTAGGGGTTCCGGGTTCAATCCCTGGCAAGGGCTGGGATTTTTTTTTTTCAACTGGACTTGGACTTCTAGTAATTCCTCCCTGGTCTTGGGTAGTGAGACCGGATACCCGTGTGAATTATTGCGCACGTAAAAAATGCCTTGTCAGTTGGAAATTGAAAAGTAGCCTAACGGCGCTGCCCGGGCAGAATTTGGAGTTAAAAATCGATCCAAAGTATTTCCTGATCCTGGCTGATGTTACAGAACCTGTGCAATGTGCTGGGCTTCTTCAGACTCAGACTTGAGTTAGAAGAAGATCGGAGCACTTATGGGTTACATTCGTGTGCCATGATGTTGATCATTTGTTCAAAACCTTTCCTTTGCAGAAAATTATGGGAATCATACTTGGGAATCTTTCTGATGAGGATGGGCCGACACTAAAGAATCATTTGCTGACAAATTTGTCCCGATATTTCTGGGGAGTTGAGTTAAGTTGATTCAAGAACTGATGTCACAGCACTCAAAGCGTTCTTGAGTGCTCCGACCCCATCTTCAGTAGCCAACACAAAGTTCCAGTAACAATGTTGCCAGTAGAGGTATGATTATTGTCCATCTTGTCTTTCCTCTCAGCGTTGAGAATCCACCAGATCCCTTCGACACTCCTCGCTGCATCACTATCACCTAACTGTGGTCATGAATTTGCTGTTCCAAATTCTACTCATGCTACTATCAGGCCTTGAATTCATCTGCCTTATCATGCAGGAATATTCCACCAAGTTGTGCACAGCCAGCCAACCTGTCCACCAAAGGAGTGAGCCTAGACCACTGTCCAAATAGGCAAGGATACCAAACATATGCAACCATAGCAACAAAGATGCAGAGAGTGACCAGGGGATCTGGCCAACATATATACACTCAGAAGGCAGGAAAGATAGACATACAGGTATTTTCAGAACTGGAACTCTTTGCCATCTGCTGAAGATGAGAATGGTGTGTGTATAGAAATCTCCAAAGTGCTGTGATGTCAATTCTTGGTTCAACTCAACTACTCGTCTGTTTCATCTTCCTGTTCACTGATTGTAAACTGCGGCAGAAAATGTTCGTTGTTCATCCACTTCTGGACTTTAGTCTTGTTCACGAACTTGTGTTTGGCATGTACATCAGTTTTACAGATCTGTCTTATTTGTATGCAGCCAGTAGGTTCCTCACCTCTCAGGCAGATGTACTCCGACTCTGAAGGAAACATCCCTAATTAGTTGACTCTTATGACATGCTTGTTGGGTGCATTGTGACCTCACCCCTCTTTCCAACAATGGAGACCCTGGGGTGCCCATTAATTTATCAGCATCTTCATAAGAGTGGCAACACCGATTCTGAGGCAGAACCAAATTACCCCCTCATCCTTTGACTTCCTGTTCAAGTGACTCAGCGGATATATTCATGGAGTTGTTGCTAACATTAAACTGACAGTGGTGTAATCAACAGCTACTACACAAGAAGTAATAAGTTATCTTCTTCTTATTCTTCTTCTTCAACATTCTGAGCCCTTGAGGTTCATTGCTGCAGATATCACTCCCCTCCATTTATCTCTCTGGTTAGCCTACCAGGATCGTTGTTCGTTTAAATCCATCTGAAATCGAGATATATGTTTCGTGACGAGATAAGTTTTACGAAGGTGGGGATGTCAGCCCCGTGCTTCAACCAACATCCTGAAGGACCAGGTTAATAAATTATAGGATATCATAATGTGGATGCAGGGCTAGCACAATGAATAGGCCACTAGAGAAGACAACAGTGACTCTGTGAAATGAGCTGTATCTGTAAGGTTATAATAACATGGTTACAAATACCAGCATTAGAGAAACATTTAGAGTCAAACCATAGATGCACATTATATCTCACTCCCGGGGGTGGGCAGAAAAGCCACATTTCTCCCACATTTACGGTACTTATCATGGAATCAAGGCCGAAGGGTTGCAATATCCATAGTACCGAGCCAAAGGGTTAAGAACTCATGGTTTCTGGATATTTAATAAAAATAAATAATAATAAAATCTCAAGCTTTTTCCAGTTTTCACATCCATTGTTTCCCGAGTTGATATGCAGTCCATAATCAGTATGTATTTGCATTAGGTAAAAATCACTTCACTTCATGTTAAAATTTCTGCTAAAGTCATTTTGTTTTTCCATATGTTTTGATGAGTTACCTAATAAAACTGATTTATTGCCTGTTGCATGGTTTTCTAGGCAGCTTTATGTTGCAGTAGTTTGTCAGTGCTTTCTCAATGGGATGGCGCCTACACAATATACTGTTGCTGAAATCAATGCAAAGCAGTCTACTGTTAAATCACCTGCAACATTCATAACACTACAATCAACAATTACAAACCAAACTGTACTCACCAACTATAACAACTTCTGTATGTATAGCAGGTTGGTGGTGTGTCCCAGCCATGTTTGAAGCCATCCTTGAAATGTTGATTGATGTTACACACAAGTAGAATCACTGTTCGTTACTTGTTGTCACTCAGTTTGTATCTTGGCCAGCAAATATCCTTACCACTTGAACAAAGAACGTACCACTGTGCCATGCCACACACTGCATAGATAACCGTGGATTATTCTGGTCTACTGTATGTATCTCTTGGGTTTTCTGATAATAGCAGGTGAAAAATATATTAAAAACAGAAAACATCTTTCTTTTTTTTTTTTTTTTTTTTTTGCACAAAACAAGCGACTAGATATGCTACGTGGATCAGAAGGTCATGGGTTTGCTCCCTGGCAGAGCCGGACTTTTCTTAAAAAATGAGTGGGTACCGGGTGCAGTCCCGGGAAGTAGAGGCCGCCGACGTGATGCTGACCACATTACATTCTCTCAATATGCCCCAACCATTTCAGTCTATTAGCTCTCACGATGCCATTGATCAATGGTGATTTGAACAGACTATGAATTTCATTGTTGATTCTTATGTTGACCACATCACCCATCTTGTGCCGCAGGTCTATAAAATATAGGTCTAGCCCTATATGCCCTATACGCCTAAAGGCGTGGAAGAGGGTCCTTTACTTTTTTTTACACAAAACAGTTTATCTATATCTTCAGTGTTGTCTCCAGCTTGAACTTCAACATGTTTTGTAATTCACTCAGCGACCCGTAAAGTTTGGCTTCAACTGGTGTTTTTCTTGGCCAGAAGTTTTGCCTGGATATGTTGTACTTAGGACAGTCTTGAAAGACGTGATCTGTTGTCTCAGGTGGAAGTCCACATGTGTAAATGGCTGAT